TCTTCTCCTCTGACTCGAATGAAGTATAATGTACAAATATTGATAGCAATAGCTCCTTAAGTCATAGCATAAACAGGCTGGCAGTATTAATCCAAAACACCCCATCCTGTTAGCATGTGTTGATTCTGCTTGGAAAGGATTGGGTGGGTTTTGCTGGCTTATGTAACAGGTGGCTTATTACCGCATTTGGATATGAGAGGTAAGAGTGGCTCTTACAGAGGATATAGGGTGTGGGATGAGCAGTCTGGAGGGAGGAACCCTAGGAGCAGTGAAGTCTTGGACAAAAAGTTTGCACTGAACCTTATGGGGCTTATCTTGTAATGTGTAGCACACAGGAGGAATATCGGGCATGCAGAGCCCCACTGATTTCAGTTGTGCTCTGTGTAAGAGCAGCAGGTTGACTACATGTTACATAGTTGCAGGATCAAGGCCTACATTATTTTATTGTAAGTTTTTCTGTTAATAAATGAAATGCCAGGAAGGGACTGAGTTTGGATTCAACACAACGTGTATGAAAACAGGCTGATAAAGGTACCTGCTGACAAATAGCCACTAAGTAAAGTAGTGCTAATTAAAGAACACTCTGCTGCAGTCCTTAAGTAAGCAAATCTCTTGCTGAAGTCAATTTGAGTTTTGCATTATTAAGAAATGTATATTCCGGCTCAAAATATCTGCGACTAAATGCTTCCAGAGTACTATGAGGAGGAGGGATTAACCCATCCTTTGATGATCTAGGCTATTATTTTTAATCTACTAATAGATAAATGTAATTCCATTCCAAATTTTCATTGGAGAAACGCTGTGTGGAACAAAGCACCTGCTTTCCTCTTGGATGGGTAGTAACTGTGACCACACACAATTATTTCTTCCTACTTCATTCACTGGGACTAAATATTTTATCATTCCTGCCAAATGACAGATTTCCTCCCCAAAGACTGGAGAGAATTTGTCTATGGATTATACCTAAAAACTTTATACTGGGGATTTGGAACAGAGTTTACCATTAAGGCTGATTAAAATGCAGTTACCTTTTCTGCATTACCCCTGGCAGAGTGCTATGTAAAAGAGCTAGTATTATTATGCATACATTATAATGGAGATTTCAGTTCCCTGTGCTGAACAATAGCTCTTTTAATTTCCAAATTGATTTCAGTGGTGCAGAATCAAGACTTTAAGGAGCACCAGAGAGAATATTTTGTAAATATAAGGCTGTGAACTGACTCAGGGTTGGGCAGCAGATTGTGTACCCATCATGGGTCAAACTGTCTCTGTCTCTCTCTCTCACACACGCAATAAGTAAACAAATAACAAATGATTAAAAGTACATTTCATTTTTAAAATTATTTCCGTTTTTATTATTTAACAAGCTACTAGTAACATAGATAAGTAAAGCTGTTATATGTATTTGTTTGCGTATAATACAAAATACTGGTAGGGCCACTTTACAGCTGGGTATCCATTTATAAAAGGGAATGCTGCCAGAACTTAGTGGGTTTGTGAACTGAGGTCAGCACTCATTTTGAAGTTGCATTTGAGAATAAAAATTATCAGTAGAGTAAAAAAGAAAGAAAAATATCTCGGGTTTCTTTCAATTTTGTGCTGTGAAAAATGAGATTACCCTACAGGGAATTGTTTTAAGAATAAATGTTGCTTTGCATAAGGTAAGAGAAGAGCGAAAAGTCCTTTATTCAAAGATTTAGTTACAGTTCGTGAAAATATTTTAATAGTCTCAGGACATAAAACTAGTCTCCTTAGGAAAGTAGCCTGTGGGGAATGGGAATTTTCCAAACCAGTGTGAAATTACATATGTTTGTTCTTATTTGGGCAATCAAAATAAGCCTGCTAGCCCCCTAATGGTGACTAACTCATTTGAGGATTTGCTCACACTAAGGGTACGTCTATACTTACCTCCGGGTTCAGCGGTAAGCAATCGATCTTCTGGGATCGATTTATCGCGTCTTGTCTAGACGCGATAAATCGATCCCGGAAGTGCTCACCGTCGACGCCGGTACTCCTGCTCCGCGAGAGGAGTACGCGGAGTCGAGGGGGGGCCTGCCTGCCGCGTGTGGACCTGCGGTAAGTACCTTGTAGTTCGAACTAAGGTACTTCGACTTCAGCTACGTTATTCACGTAGCTGAAGTTGCGTATCTTAGTTCGAACTGGGGGGTTAGTGTGGACCAGCCCTAAATGTAATGCACCTGTTCCATCCACAGAATATGTTTGTGTGGCATTTTATCCTGCTGTTTGTATGAAATTCTACCTGCTGGCTATCATGGGCGCTTAGACCTGTTCAGTAATGTCCTTCCACCCAAAGCCATAAAAGCCTGGATATTTCATTATAATGGCTCTGTTCATATCCGCACAGTACCCCATGTTTGAGAGGAGCCAAAACTCACATTATGTACATAGTCATGGAACTGGGTTAGGAATGGTACATCCCTCTAACCACAGTGTTTGAGAAGTGGATGGAGAGAATACTTTCCCCGCACCAGCAGTGCTTTATGCCTTTGTCTACAGCTGACTATGCTGAAATCTATTTAACATATCTCCCATTATTACTAATGGGAATTACATGGGTTTTTTTGGCCATGTAGCAATAGAAGAACCAATCACTATGAACTGCATGGTCCCTTTTGAAGTAAAACGGTAAAGAACATTCTAAAGGTTCCTGGGGAAGTGAACTGTGCAGGCAATCATGAGAAAATAATTGTTTATAACTGGCAGTGGACACGGCATACTGGAGAGATTTAAAAAACAAAATTTTCTGTCCTGGGGAAAATGAGCAGCATTGCAATATTACAGCAACTATTACAGGGGTTCTCAAACTGGGGGTCGGGACCCCTCAGGGGGTCACAAGGTTATTACATGGGGGGTTGCGAGCTGTCAGCCTCCACCCTAAACCCTGCTTTGCCTCCAACATTTATAATAGTGTTAAATATAAAAGGTGTTTTTAATTTATAAGGGGGGCTGCACTCAGTGGCTTGCTATGTGAAAGGGGTCACCAGTACAAAAGTTTGAGAACCACTGATTTATTATCAGGAAAGGCACAATCCAAAGAAATGTGCAGCATACTTTTCTGAGGGCTTGTTCACCTGAGGAACCCCCCAGGCTAAAGGGTGTGATTTTTAAACAGCCTTCATTAAACCAAAAGCCTTGAGTGGACACTCAGTTCACTTTAAAGCAGGTTTATTTTGGTTTAGCTTTAGTCAATTAGGAACTGATTTAAGATAAAATGTCCACAATGGGGTTTGCACCAGTTTAACTAAATCGGGATAAAATGAATTAAATTAAACTGGTGTAGCTTTCTCATGTAGACAAGGCCTGAGCCTCAAGCCTTCTACCTTAGCATCTTTGCAGATGGTTGGTCAGTAGTAGCTCTAGGGTCAGCATTTCAGGTTGGGCACTGGAACTTGTCTTAGCTCTGTATATGCTCATTACATCTCCAAGTCAGCTAAATATTTAAGCACATACCTAACTTAAAAGCACAATGTTCCTTAGAGCACATGGACAGAGGTCAACGAGATTCCTAATGTGCTTTACGTTATGTCCTGTGCTTAAGTAACTTGCTGAACTGGGGACATTCAGGACACTTTTGAAAGTGTCTCTCAGGGCTATCTAATGGCGGACAGCAACAGAGGGTCCTGTGGCACCTTTGAGACTAACAGAAGTATTGGGAGCATAAGCTTTCGTGGGTAAGAACCTCACTTCTTCAGATGCAAGCACATAATGGTGGACAGGCTACTCAGTAAAGTTCTTCTGGTGCTGCAGCTTTGCAACTCCTTACAGGAATATGCACATGCTAAGGACAGGAATAGGGCACTGCAGCAGCTGATCCTGCCTGGCTCCTTCTGATGCAAGAATTAGTCTGTGATGTGAACTACTGTGAATGGTGCACAGACTGCTGCTGAAGGTCAATTTATTTTGCAGTGATTTCATTTTCTCATTTTTCAGAGTGGCGCGAGCCCCACAATCCCCCCATGGGAGAGCCTTCAAAATTATAGATGCTTGGTATGTGAAGGTTTCACATTAAAGGAAAGGGAACAGAAATACGACATGAGTATTTCCATCCATCTTTCTAAATGTAGAAGCTATTCTATTCTATAAAGGTTCTAATGCTACACTCATCACCATAGTATCTGAGCGCCTTCCAATAGCGCACTAAGCACACTGAGATGAGTTAGGTCCTTGAAATGATTATTAAAAGGTCAGGCATTCTTAAATTGAATAAGGAAACAGGAGCAGACACATATTGGACATCCAAACAATATTGGAGAAGCTTTGACAGGCATTCTTGGAAGCACATTCAGTTCAGGAGAAAACTTTAAAAGGTCAGCACGGTGAAATATAAGACCTAGGGAAACACCAGAAAGTTGCCTTATAGTTAGTTTAACTTCAATTACAGGCCAAGTCTTAGAATTATTTGAAGAAATCAAATATAGGAATATTTAGAATTTACAGCCTCATTAAAGTCAAACCATTTAAAAAAATAATTGCAAGTAATAGTTCTAGTAACAATCATCAAGTTTTTATATTTGTAAAAAATAGAATAAAACAAATCCTAGTTTTTCATAAAGCTCTTTATTGTGGGCCAGATTATGAGTCTCAGATTTAGCTTCATTAGCATTTCACTTGACAACAACTCTCCTTCTCTTCAACAGACATGTTCGTGCTGTAAAGTACCCCTCACAATGATGAAGAGTATCAGAATCTGGCTGCTGGATTTTTCAGTTACACCCATTCATAAATTCTCATGATATAGGATTGTGCTTCACCTACTTTCCCATTGAAGTAAATGGGAACTGAGCAAGCTCTCCAGAAGGTGACATTTGATCCCCTGAATCTTAAATTCCTTCGCTTACTCTTAAGCCACAAGAGCCATATTCTATCCTTATGTCTTCTGCTGAGCACTAGCTGATGTCAGCTGGAATTAAGAGCAAACACCAATGGTAGAATATAAGTCCCCATCATGAAACTCTTGTTTTTCCCCCTTGAAGACTTACCTGGTTTCATCAATATAAACTGCTTCCAACACAGATGCTGCATATTCAATATTCTTTTTTAAATCCACCACATTAACATCACCTTTCTCCAGTTGCTTGACCAGGCATCTTAATCTGTAAAAAAAAAATATATATATAAACATCATTGTATGTTCTGGGATTCATAAAAATCTAGTAACTATTTTAGTAGCTGTATTCTATTTGGAGTTTAGGAAATAATACAGTTGTCCACAGTGCAAGCAGGAAACCTTTATCTTGTCTCTTTTCTATTAAAAAGCACCTGTTTTTAGAACACAGATAGTAGTACTGAGCAGTGCATTTTTACAACTTTATGAAATTGTAACATATTAAGATGAGATAATTAAGATAACTTCAGTAAAATCAGAGGAGCTCAATAATTATTAGCACAAATATATTTTTTTAAAAAATATGATTATAGCTATGAAGGTTGTATCTCTAATTTATACATAACTAACGATATTAGCAAGAAGTTGATTTAGTTCTAAAAACTGCCTTTAAAAACAATCATCTGTCAACAAGATGCAGTGAAATGTTAGTCATAGCTTCAAATCCTGTTTTCATTTTTATTTTCTCCTCCAATACATTTTAGCCTCAGATTTTGCTTTTGTTATTAAACTAAAGTTAAGCTCTATTGCTTTCATTTGTTTAGAGAGGATTCATTGTTTTTGCCAGATGCAAGGTGGTAACTATAGCATTAGAAAAATCCAAACATATTCCCCTGTGTGTTTTTTGGTATTGGTTTTGAGAACATGCTTATGCATTATAAACGTGGATACGCCCAAAAGTTAAATGCTTCCATTTAAGTGTCCAGGGCAATCAATTTATGCTACTAAGCTATTAGATCATCAGATTCCACCCATTCCCATTGATGGGGGAAACTCAGTTCTGAGCTTGCTTAAGTTAACCATATAAAGCAATGAAACTTCAGTCCTATCAATGACAGTTCACTGTTGTCCCAGACATACAGGAAGAAAAGTAAGAACAAGGGATGTAGTTTAATTAGGCCACAACTTTATTAACTGAACTCCTCTGAGAACTACCTGGCAATAACTTGTACACTACATGTCATCATTCCTTCCTTAATCATTTGCACCTATTGGGTGAAGGCTGTTATCAGGGCTCCCCTTTCCCCCAGCTGTCCCCAGACTGTTGCTGGGATCCCACCACACTCCCTTCATATAAGGGTAAAGGGACTTGTCTCCTCACAGTGCCAGATATTAGAAGCCCTAACCCTGTTCCCCAGATTCTTTAGGGAATGCCTTCCCCTAAGTCCACTTCCCATTCCAGTTTATCAGGGAACTGGACCCACTATGGAATGAGTACCTGCACTGGGCACCTGCCAAGTTGTGACAATTTGAACCATTCCTCCTAACCTATCTAGGCAAGTCCTGGAGCTGTTGTGGGGAAGGTGAAAACAAAACAAAAAATCCTGCTCCAGCCAATCTGGAAGTGAGGGGAAAATTCCTTACTAGTCTCCAAAGAGGTGATTGGTGGCTTGGCCACAGGAGATCACAAAAATCTGGCCCACTGCAATCCCATGCATGGGAGCAACTGATATGGGAGAGGACTCTGTCTGGCAGAACAGGACATATATGGTCCACAGAGAACCACGGGCTTACCTGAGCTCCTCCTTCCAGCCCGTAGCTCAGAGGATGCCCCCTCCCCAGCCCCAAAGAGGTAGTGAACCATTAAAGGAGCCATAATCCTTTTCTTCCTACTTGACTAGACAAAACCGTTGAGACTAATGGGGAAAAATTAATCCCCTGAAAAAAGTTGTACAAGTTTTTCAAAGATGCATTTTCCTTTTTTGAATACGGCAATTTATTTTCTTTCAATGCTGAAGTGAACCACAGGATTATATGACATGACAAAAGCATATCTTTAAAATGAAATATGCCAATTCATTCCTTTTAATATAATTTTATTAAAACTATTATCTTGACTTTTTTCAAGCTAATGTAGAAGTGCAAGCTTTTGGCTGAAGAAGTGCATTAAAATCTCCCTTCAGAAATAATTTCATATTTGTGCCCCTTTTGTGAAAAAGTAGTTATATTTCCTATCCCTGTGGTTCCAATGAGACATTAAGATAAAGGTTAATTAATTAAATGTAATGTGGAGCCAACGTCCATTCATTATGATTTTTATTAGACCTGTACTCACTATTGGATCACTCTTGATTACAATTTATGGACTTAAAATTAAAATGCTATTTGCAGCAAAACTCTTACAATAAATGTAAAGTATAAAAGCACCATATTATCATCACCAGCATCGTGGTTCAGGCATGGACCAGGACTGCATTGTGCTACGCGCGCTACAGACACAGAACAAAAAGACAGTCTCTGTCTCAAAGAGTTTACAATCCAAGTAATCAACCATAGAAACCAAGCTATTTCCCCTCTATATTGTTCTGACATGAGTACAGATATGTCCTGGTCTCAGCTAGGGTTGCCAATCCTCCAGGGTTGTCCTGGAGTCTCCAGAAATTAAAGATTATTCTTTAACTAAAAAGGATGTCATGTGATGAAATCTCCCAGAATATGTCCAACCAAAATTGGTAACCCTAGTCTCAGCCTTCCTTGCAGAAAGCAGGCCCTTGGGGATATTCTTGATAAGCAATGTTTTTAAAGGACCAGTACTGCTCCGCTGAAGTCATCAACAGTTGTGCGACTGATGTCAATAACAGCTGGAGCAGGCTACATGTTCGCCTGCAGCTCTTTGCGGAAGTAGATATTAACCACCTGCATTTTTTAAACTGGCTTCACAAGGATTCTGAGGTTAGGTCAGGATTGCCTTCAGGGGTTGCTGATTTTTCAGCAAAAACAGTCTGGCATTCATAAACTGTTGATTTACATCATGTGTGGATACCAGAATTTTTGAGGTTCATGACACATCTGGGTTTTCAATCTGTTTCACACCAGGGTAACCCCCTTGATTTCAACTCCTGATTTACATTTGGGTAAGTAAGAGCAGAATCAGGCCCAATGTTATGTACTGTAACATATATATATAATGTGATACTCTGTTGTACCAAACTAGTCTTTTACACCCTTCCCCCGAAAATTAAAGTGATCAGTTCTGACTTCACCAACATTACAAGAAAATGAACAGCTCAGTTAGGTTTAAATTATTTCAGCTCTGTCTGCAGCTATCTGGATAGATCAGTCCAGGGCCATATATAAATACATACATATTTTAATGCCCCAATGCCTTCCACCTGTTCCTGGTTGGAATACTGAAATCTGCTTTCTTTTGCACTTGCATTTCTATTAGCTGAGTGGGTGGTTTAATTTTTTTTATCTCAAGTACAGATTCTAATTTAGAGTAGAAAAAGCAAAAAATTAAACCTTAAGTAATAAACCACTAGGAGATCCATTACACTTTCCCAAAAGACATGAAGTCATAACTAGTTCAGGCAGAATGATGTGCAGTGAGCCCACTTTAACCTTCACAGCTCGGAAGGGACTCTGTATAAATTAGTAATAATCAGGGCACACACTAGACCAAATTCTGCCCCGCTATAAGCAGCTGCAACTCCTCAGAAGCTAATGGAATTGTGCCTCACTACACAAGAGATTAATTTGTATGTATGTATGTATGTATGTATAAAGAAGGGAAAGAAGAGTCAAAATAACAGTGCTATATTATTTAAATAACTGATACGCAGTTTGACTTGCTTATTTGTTCAAGTAAAGAATAAATATCTAGAAGCAGAAGCTCATGTAGTTAAATGGATGTTAGTAATCTGCAGGAAGCGACTGAGTGGCTCTTATTATTGAAAGAGAATCATCATATGCCAAAGTACCAAGCACTTATAGTTCATCAGTATGTGTTTACTCAAACATTTTAAAGAGTTCCCTGCTGTATTTTAATGAGTGCAGGGGGCACAGAGCATCAGTGAAGATATAAATATGGGGCTTTATTAAAGACCCTGAGATGGAGAACTTAAAAGAACATGAAAAATCACATTTGTTTGATTTTTTTTTACCACTATAATTACAAGGAATCCCTAAAATTACTCTAATAGAAACTTAATAAGAAATAATGTTCTTCTGTCTCTCTCCCCACTTCCCCCCCCCCCCACTCTGTTTATTTTGTGCACTTGTCAGCCCTTTGCATATTGTCAGTTTCATGGTTTTGCTGAGGGAAAGGTGCACATGTCACCTAGACTAACATGATGACAATGACTCTCGTGGACTGCTGGTCTGGGGAGCTCACTCTGGTTCTGCAAAAGGGTCTTCCTCAGTAAAAGCAGCAGAAAAGCTTGGGTCAGAAGAGTCTCCTTTTCCTATGATCTCCACAAGGAGCTGGGGAATAGCAGGTGCTGTAATAGCCTTCTGGATGAGCCCCCTTTCTTCACACATTAGAATCTTGCATAGGAGTAGAGAGAACGAGAAGCTTGGTGGGGCAGGGAATCCCCTCCATGGAGGCTGGCGAATAACTAAAACCTGGAGAACCAAGGGAGAGTAGTTCTTTCCTCCTCAGTGCCCTGCACAGAACAGGGAAGCAATGGAAACCTGGAGAGTTTCCACCCCAGGCCTCAGTAAGGGGCCAAAGGCCCATGGCAATAGGGTGATAGGAACAGTGAGGGGGATGATTCTTCCCTCACGGGAGTCCTCTACAAGTCCACGGAGGAGTTTGAAAGATAAGAGACTTTACCTCAACACTTGATGCTGCCTGCTGAAGAGACAAGCAGGAAGATGCACAGAGTGAGAGGGCGGGGCCTGAGCACCTTTTGTGGTATTTCTCTCAGACCCGCCCTGTAGAAAAATACCCTTACAAAACAGAAAAACCCTTAAAACTTCTTTTGGAAAAGGAATTTTAAAATACAGACAGAATCTGGGGGGTAGGGAACTGTGTACCAGGACGGGAAGTGTGGGAATGCAGCCTGAGGGAAGGTGTGATATTTTGTGTGTCCTTCACTGCGGGAAGGGAAGGGAATGACACAATTTAGGTGCTCTTCAAAATGTGCTCCACACTGCAGCCCCTAGCCTTCCCTGTAAGAAACCTGTTCTAGCTAAAAATCACCCTACTGAGAGAATACATTGGGCACTGCTTCTACTCTCCCAATTCCTGATCTGACATGGGCAGGA